ATACGTTAGGGTGTCGATTTTTTTTTCCATGGCCATTGATACGTCATCATCGTTTGAAGAAACGTGAAGACATGGGAAAGACGACGATGACGGTTTTCCTTGGTAATTTTATGATTTCCATCTTCTAGGATCACAATTCTCCAAATCTCTTTAATTTTCTATGAACCTGCAATTATTAGCTCTCATATAATTGCTTCTCAGTTTGAAGTGGTATAAGAGTATTACTTGGTTTGGTTGTCTCTCTTGTTAACCTGACTTGTTCAATTTTTCTAGTGATTGCTTGTTTTCTCTTTCTGACTTGTTCAGTTTTCCGTACAGATGGAGCCTAAGAAGACAGCTTCGTATGCAAGTATATGAAAACCCGATCTTTTCTCGACCAACAAGCTAATGATTACCTAACTGATTAGGTATGTATTATGTATATCTGGACATAGCTTAAAGTTTCTAAGTTTCAGCATCATCAGATTGTAGTCTTTTACAAGTCACAATAGGAATTGTATTATGTGTACATAGACACACGTATGCGTATCTCTATATTCACACAATGAAATTTAACTTTAAAAAAAAAAAAAAAAAAACAGAGATGATCACTACCTGCAATTAGTTTTCAAATTTGTTCTTGTTCTTTACCTCGACGTCCCACTTTTGTAAAAGTCATCCGTTCATTTTACATTTTTCTTCTTTTTTCTCCCAACTGGATATCACCAATTATCATTTACATTATATCCCAAAGACACTATCATTTCATAATGCTCTACTATATATATGTAAGCTAAGTCGCGTAACGAGAGAGACACATCATATATTTTCTAATCAAAACATATAGAGCATCGAAGGTTCATGAGTTTTCCAATGGGATTTCTTCATCGTGCATATAATTAAGTTAACGTTAGAAATTTGGTTGAAGACTAATGTGGTTTGATCAATGGCCGTGGAATAAATCGAAACCCTAACATATAATACTAACACCAAAGACGTGTCTGTTAACTAACATAATCTTTTGGTTAATAATTTTATTTCTTAATTTATTTTATTAATTCGTTTAATTTTTAGTTAAATGCTAGATGACATGGCACAATCATTGGCTAAAATCAAAGGAGGTGAATACTTGGGTTCACCCTAGGGGTGAATCCTTTTATTCACTCCTTTTATTTTAACTAATCAGAATTCGCTAAATAAGAATTAAACTCATTTAATTATTAAATCTAATCCCTAACCACTTTTTTATAAACTCAAACCGATATATAATCTTGCTTAATTACAAAATCTAAACCCTAATTCTCCATTGTAAACCCAAACCGCCATTTAAACTCATTTAATAGTAAAAAATTATAAATCCTAATCGTACATTTTAAACCCAAACCAATATTTAACCTCGTTTAGTTGTAAAATCTAAATCCGTTTATAAGTCCAAACCGATATTGAACCTCGTTTAATCATGAAATCTAAACCCTAATCGTACTTTCTAAATTCAAACCGACATTTAACCTCGTTTAATTGTAAAATCGAAATCTGTTTATAAATCCAAACCATCTAAACTTTAACCCTTTCTAATATATCCAAACCGATACTTAATTTCGTTTTAGTGACAAATTAGATTTTATAATTAAATAAAATTTTTATTATTATTATTAGATAGAAGATTCTGATTGGCTGAAATAAAGAGGGTGAATATAAGGGTTCACCCCTATTTTTCTTTTATAAATGCACGATACAAAGACAATAATCGGGGAACTATTTTCTTTTCAAATACATTGAAATTGTGATACTTAGGGCTTTAATGTTTGTGCCTTATGATGGAGCACCACCAATCAGTGTGACAAAGAGTAATGAGGAAGTGATAACCGAAGTGACGCTTCGCGCCATTGCGGAATAAAACCAAGAGAATGTCATTGTATTTTATGAATGCTCTACACTTCGAAATTTAGTATTGTGTGTTTGTTGTGCACGTGTAACGCCCCGACCTTCCCTACCAGTAGCTCGAGAGAGGACGTAGGACCCACTGGTAGGGACGGTCGTGGCGTTACAAGTGATATCAGAGCCGAACCCAGTCGAGTGTGGAGCCAAGAGGGCTCACACCGTTGGGGGTTACGGTTTTGGTACGCAACGAGGACGTTGCGATCTGTTAGTGGGGGTGAATTGTAACACCCTGGTTTCAGAAATATGGTGGTACATGAGGAGACGTTTATAAGAAATGATTTGGCCACCTATATCACCAAAGTGCATTTATCTTTTCGGTCAAACGTCCTGGGAGAACTCCACAGTTAAGCGTGCTTGAGCTGGAGCAATTTCAGGATGGGTGACCTTCCGGGAAGTGATTGCCGGAATTGTGTGAGTGAGGACAAAACACAGGGAAAGATTATGTGGTGATTTGTAGGGTCGGTAAACAAGATTTTATGCCGGATCATCGCCCGGACGTAGCGGACCGGCCGTCGGAAGATAGTAGGCCCACGGGCCGAGAGAAGACGTGGAGCCCATTAAGAGAGATGGCGGTCGGGGCGTTACAGCACGTCTCGACGAAATCCGGTTTACTGGTTATTTGACACACTGGCTCAAATTCTGGGCCAGAGATCTGTCTTCCCCGTCTCCAAAGTCGAAACTCTATCTAGTTGAAACATTACAGCGCGCACACTTGTTTCAGATTCCTATTTAGGGTCAAATAGACAATGGAAAGTGCACTTCATTCCTAGTTTCTTTTGACCTTTGTATGCTTTATTTATCCGAGCTTGCTTCTCCACTTAGCAGTCACCAAGATATGTGATTTCCGTTTTCATATTACATTTCCGCTTTATCTACATTTGTACCGGTGTTATATTTTTGTTACATAGAGAAATTTAATAGAATAGTTTAGGTTTGTAATCAAAATAGTGGTTTGAAAACTGTAAACTAGGGATGAACAATTGACATAGAATAAGTAAACATTAAGAGTAAACTTATGATGATGGGTTTCCAGGCTAAATATCAAGAGTTTTATCATAATCAAGTTACTTGTTTCACATGCTTTTCTATCGTGTACGTGTTGGTATGGTATGCAGATATAAAACTGAGTTAATTCGAAGATAGGATTCTTTCAACAGAACCTAGATAAGATTATTCATTTTATTTAAGTACTAGTTAGTAAACGAAGAATAAAAGCATGTTTTTTAGGAAACCAATGGTGATTTATAAAACCAATGATGATTTATAATTTTTTTTTAAAAAAATCTAAATATAATTAGTTTCGTTTATTAATAGAGAGTATAATATATATTTCGACCTATTTTATAAATGTACCATCCATATATCTATATTAATAATTTTGAGTATATTAATTGTGTTTTAGGTTTAAATAGTATATCTATATATACACTTAAACGACATTTGGCTTTCTTCTTCTTCTTGCCTCAGTTTAGGAGAAAGATTTTTCTTGCGGTACACCGCAAAGCTATTATTTTTTTTTAAAAAAATTTCTCCTTAAACTTCCAAATCTAGATTTTACCCCGCGGTACACCGCGGGTCGATTTTTTTATAAATAAAAAATTATTTTGCAAAATTTTAAGTTGTATTTGTTTTGTTAATATTGTTTATTTTGTTTAGTGTTTCTGATTTTATAATTAAATTTTGATTTTTAATTCTAGGATTTCATCCATAGTATATTGTTTAATATTAATATTGATCTAAACCCGTTGCACCATATAACCCCGTCCCGTAAAATTAAACATCATTTGTTATTTTTTTTGAATAATAGTTTTATCCACTACGGGTTGCAGGTTCATGCGGATAAGCCCGTAGAGAGTTGCGGGTTTGCGGGTCGACCCGCCAAAAGAGAAGCTATCTTTTGAAACCCTTTGTTTTGTTTAGAGGTTTTAAGAAAATATTCCTAAAAAATAATTTTCATTATATGAAAAAAAAGAAGTAGAAGAAATTGTAGTATCAACATTCCCGATTTTTACATCACTCGTTACAATTAATTTTTTTTTTGCAGATAAAAACCAGAAGTTAACTAAGTCGAGATTTTTAAAAAGATTGTGTAGAGATTTTTGGTAAATTGTTGAGAACTTATTTGATTTCAAAATCTTTACTTAAATAGATAAGGAAAGATTTTGTAGAGAGTTTTGCTAAATATATGAGAAATGAATTTCAATTAAAAATATTTACTTAAATAAAACATATCTAAATAATTAAAGCTAGTGACATGTCATTGTAAATACTTCTCAACTTCAGGATTTATTTGCTAATTGTGATCCAAAAATGTATATATAGATTACAAAAATAACGTGTTGTTATATTTTAAACATACTTTCTAACAAGGCTAAACAAACAGTATTGATTAAACGGCATATACTGTATTTAGATGTTTGACGGAGTTATAGACGGAATAATTTTTTCAATCACAATATTATATTTATGAGTTATATTTAAGAGAAAATTATTACAGATTTATGGTAACATTATAAAAATCTGTCATAACATATAACAAATCTGCTACCATTAGAGGTCAATCTAGTTATTAATTTTTAGTCAGCAAATTTGTTACAACATGACAGTTTTCTTTCCGAAAATAATAAATCTGCCGCTTCTTACAAATTAAATCAGCCAGACATTACAATAAGTCTGTCACAAATTGTTAAAGTCTGTGATTGAATGAAAAATAATCTGTCAAGAAAAAAAAATCTGCTAAAATTCTGTAAGTCTCTCCTTAGCAGATTTTTCTAAAATTGCTGGAATTTTTTTATGAAGGATATTTTTGGATTTTTTTTTTTTTACACATGAGACAAGGGTATTTTAGGCATGAAAATAACTCATTTAACCCAAATTATTTGTGAGTCAATCTAGTAATTAAACTCAAAATTTGGGTTTATCTAGTAACTCTCCTTTTATTAATAATTTAGTTGATGTGTTAAAAACAGATACTTGAAGGTTTCTTAGATTAATATATTTTAGTTAAGAAAAATATTTGGTTAATAATTTAGTGAAATATTTAAGTTAAACCTCACATCGAGTTTGCGTACAACATAAGATAAGACAAATGAAGTCTTTTATTAATAACCGAAACAGAGAACATAATCACACCATAAAATTATATAGAAATACAAACAAATAGAGGATTGATATATGAATTTGAAACGAACATCATGCATTTTGGAGATCAGCCATATTAACTCGTGAAAGAGTTAAAAATCAAGCTTAACCGGGTACTTGGCAACACAATGTTCCCAAGGACTGTTAACCGAGGGCTTGACATTGCGTAGAGCCACCCAAACGGCACTGTTACACTTAAACCCTGAACCTAAAGCAATCTGCCAAGCTTTGTTCCCTTTCTTCATCCTACCTTTGGCCTCTGTATAAGCTAACTCATACCAAATAGAGCTCGAAGAAGTGTTACCAAACCTATGCAAAGTTGATCTTGACGGCTCCACATCTATCGGCAATAGCCCCAAGTTCTTCTCTAGCTCATCGATCAGAGCTCTCCCACCCGCGTGGATACAGAAATGATCAATGGCTTGCTTGAAGTCAGGGACATAATGCTTTATCTTGTTGTTAAAGAACTTCTTGTGGATATAAGTCATTAGAAAGAGAATCTTTTCGCTTACCGGAAGAACCAAAGGACCCAAAGTGGCGATGTTTTTGGTAATGGTTCTGGAAGCCACAGAGGTTATATCTTTGGTCAGCGAGACTCCGGTTTTGCCCGTCTCATCATCTTCTTGCTGCACACATCTAAAAGATTTGTCATCAGCTCCAGTATGTGTCCTGACCGTGTGAAGTAGCTTGTACTTGGAACGTCTTCGGTCTCCTGACTTGTTAGAGAGCAAGATCGCGGCTCCACCAACACGGAACAAGCAGTTGGAGACAACCATAGATCTGTTATTACCAATGTACATGCTGCGGCTGAGATTCTCTGTGCTCACCACAAGAGCATAAGTGTTCTTATGAACTTGCAACAAGTCCTTAGCAAGATCGATGGCTATGACACCAGCGCTGCAACCCATACCGCCAAGATTGAAGCTTTTGATGTTGCTCCTAAGCTTGTACTTGTTCACTACCATCGCTGAGAGCGAAGGAGTCGGATTAAACATGCTCGAGTTCACGATGATTATACCGATATCGCGTGTGTTGACTTTGGTGTTGGCTAAGAGGTTGTCAATGGCATCGAAGATGACTTGTTCTGTCTCCTCACGTGCAGCCGCCATGGTCTGAAGAGGTGGGATATTTAAAAGTGCATCTGGTACGTAAGTCTCTTCCCCGAGACCGGAACGTTCTAGAATCCTAAAAAAGAAGTCCAAAGAGTGCTCCTCAGCCACTATTAATCTCTTAGACAGTTCTCGAATCTTGTTGATATTATCTACGATCTTTTGGACAGTGACCTTTTGATGTGGAGGCGGGAGATGGCACGAGTAGTCGACGAGGTAAACGGGTCTAGGTCGGGTCACGAAGTAGATGGCTGACCCGAAAGTGAGAACCGCAGAGAGAATGGTTAGGGTTACGATGTTGTGTTGGAGATAGAACCAAATATTTTGGATATCTTCATGGTTTAGGCTTGACGCTTTAATGGCTACAAGTGCTAGTAACGGGACTAACCAGAGCTTGAAAAAGTGGGTAATGAGGTAATGATAAAGAAGCTTTACGTTAGCCATTAGAGAGTAGTGAGGAAAACAGGATAGATATATAGATACTCTCTGCTCTTCGCTCTTCCACATGCACATATTTATAGAGATGTTTATCCCCATGCAAATAGTTTTTTTTTTTTTTTTGAAATCTTGGAATACTATTTACTCTTTCATAAACGTAATTAAGGATGCACACATGACTTCTTAAAAACATATCAATATATTATCATTTTTTAAAGCCAGTGATTAATCACGTACGTGGTTTTATTCTTTGTAAAACTCTACAATATTAATAATAAAATGTAAGAAACGAAAAACCATAAAAGAAGCATACTCTGTTGAGAGTTTTACACTCCATTTCACATGTTTCTACGCTGTTTATTCTTGCATGGAAAGTTCCCAATAACACTCTAACGTCATAAAATTGATCTTTAACAACATATATTTCTTATCTTATTTGTCAAGAATTTGGGTTTAGACTCAACCAATTTTGTTTTACTACTTCCTAGAAGTTATGTCTTCGATTTTCTAAATCTAATTTTATTTCCTTTGTTTTCGGTTAAACAAATTTCGTTTGATGTCCTCAAGTTGTGTCCTCATCACTAAACTTCCGTCATTCGCAACCCATAACAATATCTATACTAGCTATGAAAACAGGTCATGATCTAGTTTTAATTAATATCCATGTATAAAACAATTTTATAATTAATTCTCTACTATCTATATAACCAAACACAATTAAAAATTTTACATTAATCATAAAATTTACATAAAATCTTCCACAATTAATAATATAGATACTTTGATGATTTCAGGGCCGGCCCGCAGGACAGGCCACCCAAGCGGTGGCTTGGGGCACCACAAATTTTTTTTTTTTTTAAGGTTTTTTTTTTTTGGTAAAAAGGCCCATAAAATGAAAATATTTAGTAAAAACTAAAGTTTTTTTCAAAAAAAATAAATAAAATAGGGCCCAAACAATTAAATTTGAATGTAATAATATTCAAAATATCATTATTTTTGTATAATTTACTAAAAATAGGTCAAAAAAAAAAATTTAGCCCTAAAACTTATAAATATATTGGGCATTATTTTATTTTTCGTGTAGGGCCTCACAAATGCTCGGACCAGCACTGGATGATTTTGTTAAGATGTAAAATTATTTTTCTCCTATCATTTTTGGTTGATTTTGTTTTCTAAATATTTTGAATAATCATATAATACATAAAATTAATAAAATCTATTTTTTTCCTTCGTATACTATGATTCGCATTTTAGAAAACGGACATATACTACTCAATTAATGAAAAATTAAACAATTCAATGTCTCACACCAGCTAAAATATTTACACATATAAAAAGTTTGAAATAACATGTCCCTTGTTATATATGGCAGAATGGATATGAATCAACATTAATTAAAAATTTAAAATATCATTAACCAGACGCTTCAATGTAGGTTAAATCCTCATTTTATTATTTTATTAACAGCACCAATATTATTAGACATTTAGACATGTAGAATTAGATTACTTCAATTAAATTTATATGAAACAAAAGTTGTTCCGCCGTATACCGCAGATTAAATCCTATTAAGATGATTAAATGATTAGTACAATGATTGACATTTTAAACGAACCCAAACTGATCAAATCCATGCACAAACTATTCCATTAAAAAATTGCCCATCCCGTACGGTCTGGTCCAGTTTTACACTACGTTGCATGGAAACGGGAGCGGATACGCGGAAGCGGAAGCGGATTTTTTATAAAATATGGGAAGCGGGTACGTGTTGGAAGCGTATATACATACATATATGTATACATACATATATGTATGTATACATACATATATGTATGTATACATACATATATGTATGTATATTTTTGTTAAATGTTTAATTTACACTACTCTATAAATAATAGAAAAAAAAAATCAGAAGATTTTTAAACAAACGAAAACGTAACACACACATATGATTAATGATATAGTATACAAATAATTAAAGAGTTGATTTAGTCGGCAAAAGTCAAAGAGATTGGGCAAAGAGGTTCAAAGCCCAAATTGAAAGACAGATTAAAAGCCCAGTTAAGCTTCCTCTCCCGATGAAATCACCGATTAGATCTGAAAGCAAATCCACCGGAACTTGAATAGTTGAAACGAGATGATTCATGGCCATTTGATATTTTACTCTGAAGCTTGAGAGAATTTCGAACAGATGATCCAAAAGAGACAAGAAACCATATCCACACACCAATAGAAAACCAGGAGGCAATATAAGCATCAAAAGAAAATTATTGCGCTTCCGTTTTTACATCACTACGCTTCCAAATACGAATCGATCGCTCCCTAGCCGCTTCCAATAACTGATTTTTCGGAACCGCGATTCCATCACGCTTCCAGGTGCTTCCGGACGCTTCCGCTCCCGTTTCCGATTCCGGAGCGGGAATCGGACGTTGAGTGACGCTTCCGTGCTTCCTAGGTTTTACACCTTAACCAAACTAGTAATCTAGTATGTTTTATTTTAGGAAATATGCATTAACTAACCATAAAACTAAAAAGAATGAAGAAACTAACCATTGATGAATAGTAAGGATATGTAAATTATATGTACAATCTTTACCAATTCTTTTTCCATTCCTCTCTCCTCATTCTCACTTTACTCCTAGTCCCTCTTCTGACGCCACTCTCTTCACCTCCAACTTCTTCGCCTCGACAATGCTGGTATCCATAATCAAATATTTCTCAACGAAATTAAAAGCTCTCTCGCTCTTTTTTGCTCAATTAAAAGTTTCACTACCACCAACAACGTCATTTCAGCCGAATCACATCACGTTCATCTGTTTCACAATGCCACTGTTGAATCATAATTTCTAAATCTTATCCATTGTTTCGAAATCCCAGATTTTTTGTGTCTTTATAGACCTCTGATATTTCTTAATTACCTCCTCATGCTATTTTTTATGAACACGTTATATTTTCTGAAATGTTTATTTTTTAAATGACATGACGTATTTTTCAACAAAAGATAATATCACATAGTATTTCTATTTACTTCAAGCAATCATACTATGAACGTTATGTTTTCATAATAAAAAACCAAATGAGTAATACCAAATGAAATAAAACATATTTCTGTTATAAATAATTACTTTATTTTATGGTGTATATAAATATAAATAATGGAGAAAGAATTTATACCCGCAGAAGGATCGGGATACTGAAAATAAAGAGATGAGAGGGAGAGATATTATTACTTCTCTTGTATTGAAGTAATGAATTGTGATTTTACATCGAACGAATTTGTTCTTTTATATAGGCATAAAAAAGTAAATTACTATGCATGCATAGTGACGGTGGGCTCCACATAAATTAATAAACAACGAAACGGTTAACCCATGTGCGCATCTTTTTGCGACTTTACGATTCCTCCTTTTCACGACTTTTATAACACTCCCCCTTGGAGACCAGTGTCACTATGTCTCTTGCGTAATGTCTTTTGTTGCCTCGTTAAAAACCTTTCTAGGAAAACCCGGTGGGAAAAACCATAGTAGGTAAAAAGAGTGCAACCGCGCAAGCTCCCCCTCGAATGATCAGGATCATAATTTACAAGTCTTGTTGACGACGCATTCCAATGTTATGAACATGTTTCCTGAACATAGAGGTGGGCAATGATTTTGTGAAGAGATCCGCAGAATTCTCGGATGATCGGACATATCTTACTTCAATGTCTTTATTCTTCACGAGCTCTTGGGTGTATGAAAAGAACTTTGGAGGGATATGTTTGGTTCTATCGCTTTTGATATATCCTTCCTTTGTCTGAGCAACACATGCAGCATTGTCTTCATACAAGATAGTTGGCTCCGTATTCAGACGAATTCCACTACTCGTTTGAATGTGTCGACTTATTGATCGTAGCCACACGCATTCTCTACTCGCTTCATGGAGTGCGATGATTTCAGCATGATTTGAAGAAGTAGCTACAATCGTCTGCTTCTGAGAACGCCATGATATAGTAGTACCTCCAATTGTGAATACGTATCCTGTTTGGGATCGAGCTTTGTGTGGATCTGATAAATATCCTGCATCTGCAAAACCAATCATTTGACCATTTATATTTTTAGGATAAAATAGCCCTAAATCAATAGTCCCTTGAAGATAACGAAAGACATGTTTAATCCCATTCCAATGTCTTCGTGTAGGAGATGAACTAAATCTAGCCAGAAGATTGACTGAAAATGATATATCAGGTCGGGTGCAATTTGCAAGATACATAAGGGCTCCAATTGCACTTAGATACGGTACTGCAGGGCCGAGTATCTCTTCATTCTCTTCAGGTGGTCTGAATGGATCACTCTCAACATTAAGTGATCTAATGACCATTGGAGTACTGAGAGGAGTTGCCTTATCCATATTAAAGCGTTTTAACACTCTTTTGGTGTATGTGGATTGATGTACAAATATACCCTTTTGAGTATGTTCAATTTGTACGCCAAGACAAAATTTTGTTTGTCCGAGATCTTTCATCTCAAATTCCCCTTTTAAATAGTTTGTTGTTTTCTGTATTTCTGCTTGAGTCCCGATTATGTTTAGATCATCAACATATACCGCGATTATCACAAATCCAGAATTTTCTTTATGAAAACACATGGACATATAGGATCGTTCACATATCCTTCTTTCGTTAAGTGCTCACTGAGACGATTATACCACATTCGTCCAGATTGCTTTAACCCATATAATGATCTCTGCAATTTTAATGCACACAACTCTTTGGGTTTAGATTTTAATGCTTTTGGCATATTAAACCCATCGGGAACTCTCATATAGATATCTGTATCTAATGATCCATATAAATATGCTGTAACGACATCCATGAGACGCATCTCTAGATTTTCGCCAGCTGCTAGACTCATCAGAAATTTAAACGTTATAGCATTCATAACAGGGGAATATGTTTCCTCATAATCAACCCCGGGTCTTTGAGAAAATCCTTGAGCTATGAGACGAGCCTTGTATCTCGTAATTTCATTTTTCTCATTTCGTTTTCTAACAAAAACCCATTTGTATCCAACCGGTCTCACATCTTCAGGTGTGAGTACAATAGATCCGAATACATTTCGCTTATTGAGCGAATCAAGTTCGACTTGTATTGCATCTTTCCATTTTATCCAGTCATGTCTCTTTTGACATTCATATACAGACTTTGGTTCTGGATCCTCGTTTTCCTCATCAATTTCCTTTGACAAAAGGTATGAGAAAACGTCATTAACATCATCCATTTTATTTCGATCCCAGATCGTCCATTATGTATATAGTTGACAGAAATCTCATGATTTCCTTCAGGCTCATGATGCTCATCATTGTCATTAGACTCATGATTCGTTTCTTCCAAAATGCTTTCTGCTATTTTGAGAATATCATGCTTTTCAACTTCCTTTCGTTTTCTAGGATTTTTATCATTAGCACCAACTGGTCTACCACGTTTCAAACGTGTTTTAGACTCACGTGTATCATCTGCTCCTCCACGTTCTTGTGGTATTTCAATTCGAGCAGGAACATTTGCAGCTGGTATATATGATTTAGTTACCGTTTTGATTATCTGAGTTATAAATCTCGCAAATGCCAAATTTCGAGATGACAATAGACAAACATGTGACCATCTGCTAGATGCGTCAATCATTACCATAAAATAGTGGAATGGTCCACATGGTGGATATATCGGTCCACAAATATCGCCTTGAATTCGTTCAAGGAACTTTGGTGATTCTTTATCAATTTTGGTTGGCGATGGCCTTATGATCAACTTTCCAAGAGAACACGCTGCACATGTCATTTTATTTCCATGTTTCAACTCATAATTTTTCAATGAGTGACCATGTGAGCTCTCTATGATTTTTCGCATCATTGTGGTGCCTGGGTGACCAAGGCGATCATGCCATAGTACGAAATCTTCTGGATTTCTTTTGATCACAAGGTTTGACTCTATGGCATCTATATAGGTATGATGCAAACCAGAAGGAAGTTCTGGAAATCTTTCCAAGACATGTCTTTTTCCAGATTTATTAGAAGTTATATACATATACTTCTTTCCATCCTCAGTTACAGACTGAGTTTCATATCCTTGAAGGTATATGTCTTTGAAACTCAACAAATTCCTCTTAGAATTCGGAGAATATAAGGCATTATTTATGGAAAACTTTGTTGCATTAGGCAATTTAAAATTTGCTTTGCCACTTCCTTCAATCAAATCCGTAGGACCCGATATTGTATTGACAATAATTTTGTCGGTTTTAATTCAGAGAAAAATCTTTGATGTCTCAGAATAGTGTGTGTTTTTCCACTATCTGGTATACAAATTTCTTTGATATTTTCCCTTGCTATCGCTTTGTTTGAATCTTGATCCATTTTTTACAAGCATTTCAGTTATCCGCATGAGCGGTCTCGTCGACATCGTTTATAAAGTCGGAAGCTTCGAGGTACGATGTACCCTCAAAGTGCTCAGTAAGATTTACTTCCTTCCCTTTTCCCTTTTGGGACTCTTTGTACAACTTACAAAGATGTTCAGGGGTTCGACATACATGAGCCCAATGCCCTTTTGATCCACATCTGTAACAGATGCTTTCACGCTTTTGAGCGTTACGTCCTTGGAATTCTTTTCCTTTTGAACTTTGATCAGGTCGAACCCATGTATAAGACTTTCTGCTTTGTGGGTTAAAGGATCTTCCACGTCCACGATTGAATCGACGGCTACGACCTCGATAGGTTTGACTTCCTCTCTCCGGATTTTTTACATCCGTTGCATTGACCTCAGGAAATGCTTTGGCCCCCGTAGGCCTAGAGTTGTGGTTCTTAAGAAGAAGTTCATTATTCTTCTCCGCCAGTATGAGAGTCACAATTAACTCAGAGAACCTTTTGTATCCGCAATTTCTATACATCTCTTGCAGGACACGGTGTTCTTTATGAAAAGTAAGGTAAGTCTTCTCGAGCATTTCAGCTTCAGTAATAGGCTTACCACAATACTTTAATTGTGATACTATCCTCAGCATAGCGGAATTATATTCCTCCACTTTCTCAAAGTCCTGGAACCTCAAGTTTTTCCAGTCCTCTAACGCATGAGGGAGAGTTATTTCTCTCTGGTTGTCAAACCGTGCTTTTAAAGCTTGCCACAGCTCTGCTGGGTCTTTTATGTGAGCATAGTCATGCGTCACATTTTCATCGAGATGCTTTCTCAAAAATATTATCGCTTTTGCCTTATCTTTTGGAGGCGATAAATTTTCCGATTTTAAGGTCTCGGATAATTCTTGCGACCCAAAATATAGTTCCACATCAGTGGTCCATGCTATGTAGTTTGCGCCAGTAATTTTGAGAGCCGGAAATTTAAGCTTCTCAATGTTTGCCATTTGTTATCCAAAATAAAATCACAAAGAACTTTATTAGAAATTTAATTTATTTCATTTTAGAGCATGGGATGTGCTTATATAAGTAATGCGATTACAAGAAATACAATTACATAAAAAAGTAAAATAATAACCATCAAAATTTCTTCGGGAGAAAATTCTTCAAAGAGTAAACCGTAAATTGCAATAATTATAAAGCCTATTACAAAAACTAAAAACGGATGAGTCATTTTCCAAAATGAAAACTTAAACAAATTTCTTAGAAAAATATATGAGGAGAGATATGATTTTTGAGTGAATGAATGAGTGAAAATGAGTGTATTTATAGATTCAAAATTACTGTTCATAGCCGTTTGAAAAGTGATAAAATTTTTTAAAATTTTTCTTCATGACCGTTGGTGAAAAGAATTAAACAGAAAATCAATGTGTAAATTTTAATAGCTAATCAGTTAAATTTACCAAATTCAGATAATAGGTTTTTATACAGGTGGCCGAGCCTCCTTATATATTAACCAAAATATAAGTATAACAGAAATAAATTTTAACGGAAATATTGTGGTGACAGAGTCATCCACGTTATAGGCGGCTTAGCCGTCCATTGCTATGGTTTATAAAACATCCATTATAACGATTACTTATAGGGGCGACATTCTTCCCACTATAGTAACGAGTAAATAACGGTGTCCGAACAGCCACTAGAAAATAATATACATATACATATATCTATATAAATATTTTTATTCTTTTTTTTTTCTTTTCTTTTTCTTTTCTTTGCTTTTCTTTTTCTTTTACTCATATTTTTTTCTTTTTAACGAGGCGACATACCGCCCGGTATAATACCGTATTTTTTTTCAGCGAACATAGAGTGATCGTGCTGATAACGTGTTATAAATAATTACTTTATTTTATGGTGTATATAAATATAAATAATGGAAAAAGAATTTATACCCGCAGAAGGATCGGGATACTGAAAATAAAAAGATGAGAGGGAGAGAGATTATTACTTCTCTTGTAATTGAAGTAATGAATTGTGATTTTACATCGAACGAATTTGTTTGTTTATATAGACGTAAAAATGTAAATTACTATGCATGTATAGTGACAGTGGGCTCCACATAAATTAATAAACAACGAAACGTTTAACCCATGTGCACTATCTTTTTGCGACTTTACGATTCCTTCTTTTCACGACTTTTATAACAATTTCTTCATTATCCTTAACTTTTAATTCTTCATTTTAAGTACTGATCTTTACGTTTGAATCTAACGATGGCAGATTGGTCCCTGCTTCCGAATGACATACTCGAACTAATTGTTAGTCATTTTGAGACATCTTTCGAGATCGTCCTCTTCCGATCCGTCTGCAGCTCATAGCGGTCCGTTATACCTCCACTAGATCATCATTCCCGCTGTTTAGGTATCAAAACTCATGATATACCGTTCAATGCCGGCTTTTCGTTACACGGCCAACCTCCGTTTAATAGCGGTGATAAATGCACACTAAAACAGATCTCTGTTTATCTCGTGAGATTCCAGACTCCATTTGGTGATGATTATCTATTGGCAGAGATGCGTGAGAGAGAGTTTGAGGAACCCATGTTAATGTTGTCGCCCTTGTCATCTAATGGTATCATATATGGATTTGGAATATATAAAGTGTTGTTCAACTCTCTTACCTCACCAATTATCCCATTTGGACATTACTACGAGGTTGTTGTTTAAAAGCCCATATTATTTTTTAAGCAAAATTTTGATCTTTTGTTTTTTGTGATTTTTGCCACTTAAATAGTCATTTAACCACCCCTTCTTAGTTAGTAGGGTGCATTGTTGAGCAAAAAAAAAAAAATGTTACTTATTTCATTGTCTAACTGATTTTGGAATTCTGTGGTATTAATCACGATTCGGTAAAGAAATATATACAAGTCACACTATTCATAACTAAGATAGGATCGAAACTGGAGTTGATGATATCAAAGTATCAAACCCATGGTATCATATCAACTATGTAATCTTATCGCTAATAAATTCTCCCTAACCTAGCTAAAAATAAAGTTGGTCCAGTTATTATTATTATTATTTTCCTTGTGCCTTCGACTAAGCCGCATAATCTTCAATGCAGATAACCTACTTCGAGATGCAACACATTCATTACCGCTATGGATTACCCTATCATTTATGGGATGGAGTAGATTGGGTGGAGACTTCCGAGAGAGTTGCATTTCTTAAACTGCATAGTGAAGATCGCAGAGATTTTGCGGTGCTTCTTGATGGAGGAACGACCAATTTGGTGATGTATAGAAGCCGTAACATGAGTTGGACTCAAGTTGTGGACCATCCTGAAACGTGTTCATATCAAGATATGGTTGCATTCAAAGGAAAGTTTTATGTTGTTGATTCAAGTGGATGGGGACGGGTCTTTGTTGTCGAACTTTCTTTGGAAGTTACGGAGATCCCCTCAGTCAGAGGATCGCAAGAGTCTTCTAAAGAAAGTCTAGTGCTGTCAGGCGAGGAGTTGTTGCTAGTGCAACGGTTCACACCAGGGTGGCGTCATGGTGAATATATATATATACATGGTTCAGAGTGTTTAGACTTGATGAAGAAGGAGGGAGGGTAAAGTGGGTTCAAGTTAATGACTTGAACGACCGAGTGATCTTTCTTGGATTTCACACGAATTTTTGCTGCTCGGTACATAAGCTCCCGGGTGCAAAGGAGAATTGCGTTGTGTTTATTGATTCGGATGATGATTACATCTATGACAATGACGCAATCCTTATGTTTGACTTAAGAACCAGAAGAATTAGTACTGCGTTAATGAATGCAAAGGCTACATGGGTGTGTTCGGTGCAAATCTTGAATCTTTGGTGTCTTGTGGACTTGTGAGTTGTGACCATGCCAGACCCAACGAGAAGCTTTGATTTCTGTTATGGATATTAGTCTTTTTATTGCTTTATTACTTTTGGTTTCTAGATACTAGTATACTAATAAATATGTAAGTGTGATGAAAAAGACAAAAAAAAAATTTGTAATTTTTCTGATATCATTGAGTATACTAATAAATGGGCTAGAATCACAGCTAATGTGTTAGGTTACAAATGAAAAGTTAATGTGTCAAGTATGGAATGGATAGTCTTGAAAAGGAATAACTTTATTAATCCATGGAAAGATTCTATAGTTAGACCACCCAAGGCGTTGTAGGTAAAAGTTTGGTGGCATAATCGATTTATTTTGCAGGAGTGTAGCTTTTAATTTAGCTTAGTGTGAGACAAATATAGCTTCTCTTAGTACATATATATAGAGGAAATATAATATATAGCTTCATATTTCTCTCTGAACTATAAAATTAATTGATGATTTGTGTTCTTTCATCTAAATCAAACAAAAAAATTTTAAGTTGATGTGCGATGATTTTTAGGGATTTTCTAACGTTTTATAGCTGTGTCCAAGTTTCCGTTGATCTTTTAGCTTTGCACAAGGATATCGCACACACCATTGTGATCCTCTACAATTCATGTGCTTTGTCTCATACATTACATCCGCCTCATATCCTATTAATATATTACTTAAAATGTAACATTTTTTAAAGTTCATAAACTTAACAAATTTAGTTAAAAACTTGAATGTAATGCAAAGAAGAAAGGAATCATAACCTAAAAAACTTTTAAAATAATCGTCCACTTTATTAAATTAATCAAACGACATTATCTAGAAAACAAAACCAAACCGGGCCTTGTGGCCTAGTGGTAAAGGGGTCACAGCTGTGACTTCCGCCACCAGGGTTCAAGGCACGGCCACTGGCAGGTTTACATAGGGGAATTGCCAGCCTCGTGGGATTAGTCTTTGGGCCTAAGAAGCTTTTGGGAGACCCGCGGTTATTCAAAAAAAAAAAAAAAAAAACCAAAGAAAAAAAAAGATGAGCCGAAAGAAATCATATTACTTCGTAAAGTTACAATTAAATTTAATTAATTTTCTGTTAATATTTTTACAATCTCATATAATTGAATATTTAAGTTTTGATTATTTTTTTAATAACTAAATTTGAATTATTTATTTTTATGTTTGTCATTAATATCATGTCATATGGCAAGCTAGAGGGAAATCCCTCCAAATTATATATAAGATTTGTTAACCATCTTATTCAGTTCTTCTGTGTCTGTGTATAATTTTTTTCTTCCTTACAAAGTATATTTCAATATTTTTTTAAGATAAACATTACAAAGTTTTTTTCTTCCTTACAAAGTTTTTCTGTTGGTGTACTCTACTTTTCCAATATACTGAATGTGTACATGTAAAGAAAGATTAGAAAATTGTATTCTTTCTGACATCCTTGAGTGTCTTGATTCACTGAATTAAAACAAAGACTTTATTGTTTTGGTTAAGAGCATAAACAAAGACTTATTCCAAATCTTCATCTTCCTTGAATCTACACTCTTCAAAGTATTTGTGTAGGGAGTCTAACTATGGCTGACTGGTCGCTGCTTCCCAAAGACATACTGGAACTAATTGCTGGTCGTTTCAAGACATGTTTTGAGATAGTCCACTTACGATCTGTCTGTAGCTCGTGGTGGTGTGCTCTGCCTCCGAAGATTTCTCTCGGAAGCTTAGGCAAAAGAAGCCTTCTTCCCATTTTCAATGACAACCCTCGGTTCGAAGGCGATGAGCATTGCATACTAAAAAAGATTCCAGTTTTTCTCTTGAGATTTGAGACCCCTTTTGGGAATGACTATTTGTTGGCAGCGATGAGCGAGAAAAAATCCGGTAAACAAAGGTTGTTGTCACCATTAGAAAATACTTATAAGTATAAATATGGAGTCACTCTCAACACTCTAAGTTCCCAAATCATCCCCTTGGGTCAGTACTACAAGGTTGTTTTACTTTACTTTTACCTTTCTTTTTATAATTCTGTTTCATTGTCAATTTGTTTAAACAATCTTTTTGATATAGGTACAATTCTATGCTATAACGACGAGACGCTATAGAACACGACGTGAATGTTATTCCAAAAGAGTTGCGTTTCTTCCAATGGATAGTGAAGACGGTAGAGATTTTGCAGTTGTAGCGGGAGTGTTAGGGGATTTAATGATGTACCGAAGCTGTGACAAGAAGTGGACTCTAATCCAAGGTCGGTTTAAATCATATCGAGATATAGTTTCATTCAAAGGCAAGTTTTATGTTGTAGATACGAGTGGACGTGGCCATGTCTTTGTTATCGAACCCTCATTCAAAGTTACCGAGATCAGTTCAGTCACACAATCTCACGAGACTTTTGATGAGAGACTGGTTGTATCAGGAGACGAGTTGTTACTTGTGCAGCGGTTTACGCCAGGAAAGTATGGTGATGAACATATGCATACGTGGTTCAGATTGTTTAGACTCGAAGAGGAAGGCCAAAGGAGATGGGTTCGGGTTAATGACTTAGAGGATCAATTCGTGTTTCTTGGAATTGACTGGAATCTATGTTATTCATCAAAGGAGCTTTCGGGTATGAAAAGGAACTGCATTGTGGTCATTGACCCAAAAACCGTCTTTGAGAGAAACCGTGTTTTTGACTTAGGAACCAGAAAGACCAGTAAGGCGGTTACCGAATGCAGAGGCTATATGGGTGCGTTTGGCGAAAATCAAGAATCCTTGGCGTCTTGCGGAATTATGATAATGCCAAATCCAAAAGTTGGCACCTATGACACATCAATTGAATCTGAATAAGTTCCTCAATCATGTCTTCAAGTTTATTTGTTTTTTGTTTGGTTGATTGTTTTAGATCAAGGAAACTTCGTTGGAAATTTTAACTCAATTTTACTACACGTTAGTAGATTTCTTGATTAAAAAGAAACATCACATGTCATTCTACCAAACCCGGTTTATTCAACAACAAAAGTCACTTCAAGTTATGGGTTAACCATGTCATTTTGCTCCTTAAGCATCCTTACAATTTCTATGATATTGTTAACATTTATGTTCGGTCAATTCAATAATGCAAGTACGACGTCTCATGATTAAGAGGGTTCTGAGCGGCTCATGTTGTCGCTTTGCTAGACATATACCACAGAACAATTATGTTCGAAGGCATAAATATTGTGATCTAATGAGAGAGGTCTCTTGTAGCTTGTTTCTATTAAGTAAAGCTGATAGTATAAGGATAATGGTCTGTAAGTTCGTGTATTATACTCGATGAACATATAACTTACAAGACCTTTTGACCTCTTTCGGTAGCTACACAACCTTATATGGTCATCTCTAAATTACATTATTAGACAATCTTCAATCGTTGGCTGTATTTGTTGCTCTAAATTTGGAGTGCTATAAAAATAGAGCAGAAGTTTGCTCCAATAGTTGCCTATATTTTTTGCTATAAAATAAATATTCTCTTTTAATATTTTGCTACCTACCAGATTATTAAATCACTTGTTTATGGTGTGTTAAGTTTTTTTTAACGACAAGTTAATCTTTTTATGTACTTTTAGTTTATCATTTGTGATGACATTATTTTCTAATTTAATATATGTTATTGTTATATTTTAAATTTCAATTAATTTAGTATTTATGATTTTTAATATAAAATTATGTATGTATGTAATTTAATTATATAATTTTGTTTAGGTATAAAATGATAGTATATTAAAATTAAGGGAGTACTTTGTAAATAAAAAAGTTGTGCTCTAAAAATAGAGATATGAATAGTGTTGTTTCATATGATAGTATATTAAAATTGAGGGAGTACTTTGTAAATAAAAAAGTTGTCCTCTAAAAATAGAGATATGAATAGTATTGCTCCAGATTTGGAGCAACACTATTCATATCTCTATTTTTATAGCAAAATGTAGAGCACCATTGGAGTGATTTTACTCCAAATATAGAGTTTGGAGCAAGATATAGAGCACCATTGTAGATGCCTTTATAGAACTTATCCCAAAACTATTTTTCTAATTAATAAAGGGATATTTATTAGCATTGCTTTTAAAAAAGTGGGTTTTTTCATCAAAAGATTTTTTGGAGCCACAAGTTTTGTGCTTGATATGCTTTGTAGCATGTCACTTTTTATATTGTCACCATATAACTATATCATATAAGTAATTCACCTTAATAATAAAATTTGTTTGTTACTTTATTTTTGTTTTCGATATATTAATTATAGAAATTTCAACGAGTCTAAAAAAGTAAGGTTTTTTTTCAGGTCCGGCCCTTCACACAAACCCAAGATACATTGGTATTGGACCCTCAATTTTTGAAACAAATTTTGTAGAAAAAAATCTATTTTAAAAACCCCAAAAATCAAACAATTATCTTTTAAAGGTCTCAAAAGTCTTCCTACAAAAAAAAAAAAAAGCCTCAAAAGTAGGCCGGGGCAAAAAAATCGTACCCGAGTACCCGAACCGAAACCGACCCGAAAAAACCGGTTCGGGGCGGGTACGGGTATTAGCTATTTACCCTATTAGGTCTTGTATTGCCGTACCCGTGGATATAGGGTAAAACCCGATCCGAACCCGATACCCGAACGGGTACCCGATTACCCGAAATTACATATACTTATACATATAAAACTTTTTATATATGTAATATTTGAGCTAAATACATTTATATCTAAATATCCGATAATAGTTACCAAAAATTAAATGCACTTATATTTAAATATTTAAGACAAAATATATTTATACGCGAGATGCTTGTAAATTTTTTAAATATTTGGAAAAAATTCCGGTTATTCGGATAAATTTTCGGGTGAAACTCGGATATTAGAGTAAAATTGCGGATAAAATTCGGATATTAGGATAAAATTTCGGATAAAATTCGGGTATTTGGTAAAATTTTGGGTATTTGGGTATAAAATACCCGAACCCGATGGGTACCCGATTTTTTGGGTATTTAGCGGTTCTAAAAATCTAAACCCGAACCGACCCGAACCCGATTAGATCCGAACCGAAACCGAACCGATATTTTAGATTTACCCTATTGGGTCCTAAACTCCTCTACCCGAAAAACCCGTACCCGATCGGGTTTTACCCGAATCCGACCCGCATACCCGAATGCCCAGCCCTACTCAAAAGTCTAAATATTATATTTTTAGAGGCCCCAAAAATCTAATAATCCATATGTGATTTTTTTTTGGGTTTCTTGGGAATATAGTACGTTTTAGAAACATAATAGGCAAACTAGTACGGGTACTATTTACAATTGTTCGTGAGAGAAAGAGTGTGAGAGAGAAAGAGTGTGAGAGAGGGTGTGAGACGTTTGAGAGTGTGAGTGTGAGAGATAGAGTGTGAGAGAGAAAGTGTCAGTGAGAGTGTAATTTTTTTTTTTAATTTCTTTTTTCTTGAAAAAAAAGTGTGTGCGAGAGTGTGGTCAGAATTTTATTTTTTTAAATTTCTTTTTCTTTTTTTATTATATTTCATTTCCTCATAGTTTAATAACTAAAATGCTTGTTTGTAAATTTTATTTTTCTAAAATTGATTATATACATAAAAATCTATGTTTTTTTCTCTATCATTTGATATGTATTTTGTTTTATAAATTTTAAAATTTATATTAACAAACACTGTACAAATAATATATAAAGAGATATAAATCATTGTACAGATGTAGACCACTGTACAGAAAACAACTGTACAGCAGAATGACTGTACAGATGTAGACCACTGTACAACAGAAGACAACTGTACAGCAGAATGACTGTACAGCCGAATGACTGTGCAGATGTAGACCACTGTACAGCAGAAGACAACTGTACAGCAGAATGACTGTACAGATGTAGACCACTGTACAGCAGAAGACAACTGTACAGCAGAAGACAACTGTACAGCAGAATACCTGTACAGATGTAGACCACTGTACAGCAGAGGACAACTGTACAGCAGAATGACTGTATAGCCACCATAGATGTGAACAGAATACTATTTGTACATCAACCTGGATGTACGATATGTAATCTGTACAGAAGCCATTCACATATGAACTAATTTGCTGGAGAACCCATGTCCGAATAGTTTTTCCCTACCTTCTCTTTGCAGCATATTTCTTTTCCTTCTCTCTTCTCCTTCGAAACTGTACATCTTCCTCTTTCTCCTCATTTGTTTTCCTTTCTTCTTCTCTTCTCTTTCTCTAAAAATCATTCTTCTAAAAAAAAAAAGAGCTTTGTCGTAAACACAAACATAGCCAAGAAAAATTAGAGAACTGAATCTGAAATAAAGCTAGAGGTTTCTAATTTCGGATGCATCTACGTCATATTGATATGTGTGCACTAAATCGGTCATAAATCTTGAACGACTGCTCTAATTTACTATTCAAAATTGGAGAATTAGTCAGTTTGTACTGTACAAAATTGGTGGCAACACCATTTTTGTTAGAGGATCCGATCAATTGTAGAGAAAAGTTAAAAGGCTAAATAAATTAGAAAACACAGAGAATTCTATATGAACATTTTAAAAAGAGAATGTTGTGATATCAAAACCATACTCCTTCGTTCATCTCTAAAATCGGACTAAAAATATGATTTCGATTTTACACTTTCCATTTAACGTGATGACTATGACTCACGATAACTTAAAAAAGATTCGAAGAAACAAAATACTATCCACTTATTTAAAAAGAACGTTTCATTCAAAACATTGACTTGTGAAGCACAACTACTAAAAATGTAACAAATTTTCAGAAGAATCGGAACAACCGAAACAAATTTACAAGAAAAGTCACTAAATCGGAAAACTGCAAAGCATAATACGAATTCTAAGTCTATCATTATTATCATAAGAAAATAGTTCCGTAATTGTGGAAAAAAAACGATATGATCAAACCAAATGAGATTTGCATGAAGATGCCATATGTCAGACCAACACAATGAGCTGTTGTGTCGATGAACTCACCATATGCCAATATTCGCTATTACAGACAACATATTTGTATAGTCAAATTTCATTAATTAACATCCACATATCCAACAACTGAAAAATAAAATAAATATCATAAGTAGAATGTAAATTAGAAATACTTGTACTTATAATTTTTGGCTTATGCTCTTAATCATTTATTACACTAGACTCGACGAAACTCAACACTAACATGATTACAAAAAAAAAAAATTACAATTCTAATTTCCATTTTCAAACTTTTTAAAAACACAAAGATTTTTTTTTAAAAAAAAACATTACAAAACAAAATTAAGACTAGACATCAATAAAAAGAAAAGAAGAAAAAAAAAAAAGACTAGACATCAACTTGTCCATTAGGAGATGGATTAAATCTCAACCACACATCACACCTTGCATAAAATCCATACCGTCCAGTCTTAATCGCACCAGCTTTCCATCGGAGCCTCCCTAAAATCACCACTCTCATCAAAACGACACCGTAAGCTTCATCATTCTTCAAACCGTTAGCTACTTCCGGCGAAACTGGTATACCGTTGCCTCCAATCACCAGAGCTATCACCACCGTAGATTTGCGTGATAAATTAAAGCAAGTCCATACAAAAATCACTCTCCAAGGGAAACTACTTGCATAAACCATGTCCTCATTAGAAATCATGTGATCTAAACGTTTCAATTCTTTAAAAAGGTTCCAATCCAATCTCAGAGAAGGTGAGATCTCAAAATGGCACTACCTTTTAGACATGGTAGGAAAGGTTTTAAACGCTTGAATCAAAACACGATCGGAATTGGAGTTCCAATTCTGCCACCTCCCGAGAGAAGAAGACAAGAAATCACCGGAGGAACCATTGGACTAAGCGATAACAATGGTTAGATCACTATCGGCGAGAAGCGGATTGGTTGGATAACCGACACGATTGGGATCACTGTTGAAAGATTCATTAGCGAAGGTACGCCACTTAGAGGTCTCATCAATGGAGATTAGAAAATGAACGATGGAGAAGATGAGGAGAGAAAGAAGGAAAAGAAAAACTATTTTTATATTCTTTTTTAGAGTGTAAATATGTCAATGGCACTGTCGTAAATATAAAGAATATGTGAGGGTCACAATGTCTTCGAAACAGTTGGAGCACAGTGAAAAGTGGGGTTTTCCCAATTGTGAATAGCACACGTACTACTTTCCCAATTATTTTTCAGAAACGTACTATTTTCCCAAATATCTCTTTTTTTTTTCTGTATTGGGCCCCAAAAAATACTGGGCCCGCACTGGTATTTTTGAAAAAAATAGCTTTTTTCTTCAATAGATTTTTGGAGCCACAAGTTTGTGCTTGATATGCTTTGTACAAGGGCCCAACACTTTTTATATGGTCACCATGACACTCTATCATCCAACTAATTCACCTTAGTAATAATATTTGTTTGTTTCGTCAAAAGATTTTAGATTTCAACGAGTCTAAAAAGTAAGGTTTTGTTTAGAAATTCTCATACTAGTTGTGTTTTTACTTTTTAGTAGGGAACCTGACAGTAATATGATGATCATCATAATAATAATCACCAACGAGGTGATAGGGACAACAATAAATTTGGATCTCGAGGTTGCCAGCAACGAATCAACTGTCTAGTTGTTTTGGATATGTCGGGATTTTATTGTAAGATTCCCATTGCTTGGATACAAATCAAGTCCTAATGACATGTGTTTTTGCCCAATCTAGGGTCAATGTTCTTGAAGCCAGCTAGCAAATATACAACTTGCAGCGGACCAAGTTCATAAATTCTGATTCTGGTTCCTAATTTCCTTGGCAAATGGAAGTGGACATATCTAAACAAACCAAACAAAAACTTGTGGCCACTCAAAATATTTAACATGTGAATGTAGTGTGCTTTTCAACTTCTTTTTTTTTGTCTGGAAAAAGTAAATCACAAAGTATAAATATCAAACCCGAATATAAACAAAAGAGTTAAATGCAACACGAATAAAAACAAACACTTTAATATATTTGACCAATAGTTTAAAAATGCTCAAATGCTAAAGTGTCATCTTACAAAATTGAAATCCCCCTTAGTCTAAATCGAAAAACTGATTTATCGATGATCACTATAGTCTCGCGCATACTAAACAATATTCATCATTTCCATTACTAAGGAAAGCATGAGTAGTGACATATCTAGAAAGGAGTGTTTTTTTTTTTGCCAAGTTGCTAACACGATAACGAACAAACATTTCCAACTAACCAATTCGACTAAATTATACAGTTTCATGTTTAAAGCATCTAAACCATTCACACAACCTCATATTCATGCGCGCAAAACCAATCACGTATTTCTGTACTCATTCTCTTGTACTCATATGCACCGACCCTCTACTCATATAACAAGTACCTCTATTCACGATCATCCGACCCTCGATCACTATGCTCGACATCTCTCAGTGTGTCTTAACCTTTTTTGTGTGTGTGTTATTCACGAGTCACAAAAACGAAGGGTGAATGTGTGATTTTGGAGGTTACAGTTAAAGAAGGCTAGCATTTGGTTAGGGTGTCAAGTCGAAGTTGGGTTTGGGAAATGTTAGTAAATGGTGTCAAAACGACTTACCACACTGAAACTTTACTAAAACTTTATGTGACTTTAATTTTGGTGGAGCAGTCTTGTATGGACCACGGTTCTATAATGGCCAATCATAATTTGTACCATGTGAGTGTGCATTTTAAACCATTTTTCTTTTTTTATTGGAAAGTGTACGTAACTATTTTCACATAAATTTTTGGAAAAGTTACTTCGATGTCATAAAAATTAGGTGAAATGAGCAGAAACATACAGATTTTTTTTTTTATTACTATTATATTTTGGGTATATTTTCTATATCTAGTGTGCTCTTGTTACACGTTATAAAAAAAACGTAATTACAAGAATGCCATTACTTTTTAATGCCACATCAGAAAAACCGCGTCGCCACGTCAGAAATTGCTGACGTGTATTAATGAACTCAGCCGTAAAGCGATACAGCAGCAATGACGGCTGAGTTACGGTATGTGGCGGCTGATTTAAGGAAAACGGCTGAGTTATGAGAAAATGGCTGACTTACGAGTATAACCCAGCTTGGAGTTACAGCTGACTTAATGAAATCTGTCTGAGTTATGAGAAAATGACTGACTTTAGAGCATAACCCAGCCGTAAGTTATGGCTGAGTTTTTACATGATGGTTGATTTGTCAAAAATTTGGCTGAGTTATTGCTTCAACACGGCTGAATTAACTTTCTCCGGCTGGCTGAGTTATCAAAGACGGCTTACTTATGGAATGTCGTTACGGCCGATTTATGTTCAAGTATCATAAATCAGCCGTAATGAGCTGGATTATCGGAAAACTCGGCCTAATTACGGCTGACTTAGTAGCGAAAGATTAATTACCAGAATAGCATGCAATTACGGCCGACTTATTAAATGATACGGCTGAGTTAAAAATTTTCAGTTGAGTTACGACATTAAACGGCTGAATTGGGCAGCCGTTTTTTCATTAACCTTTCTATAACATCTGAGTAAATATTTCTAAATTTTTAATATATTTATAACTTTTTTTTTGTTACAAATCTCAGTATAAAAAAATAAAAACTAGTTTCATTTGATATTTAATAGTTATATTTTATACCATGAAAACCAATAATATGAAAAAATTTCATACTCATAAGTTTAACATTTTTGTACTTCATGTTGGTTTAATTTATGGGCAATTGACAAAAATAGCACCAAAAAATAATTTCTTCCAAAATTAGCACAACATTTCTAAAATTCCACAAATAGCACTCTAAACTTTAACTAAATAGAAAATGAGAGAAAACACTAACCTAATATTAAATTAAATCATTTTTTTAAGTAGAAATATATACCATAAATTGGAAATAGGGAACCCAAATATAATACCACAAACTAATATTAAAATGAATCAAAATTTCTTTTAAATGGTGGAAATATATACCCTACATTAGAAATAATGAACCCAAACATAATAACACAAATTTAATATTAACATAAATCAATATCTCTTTTAAATGGTGAAAATATATACCCTAAATTAGAAATAGAGAATCCAAATATAATATTTAGAATTTATTTTGGTTGAATAATTTCTATATAAAAATTGTGGTATTATTGGAAAAAATAAACTAGTGATAATACTATTGAAACAAAAAAATTAATAGTGAGTCAACTAATGCTATTTTTGGAAGTTTATTGAATGTTTGCTATAAATGTCCATAAAACTTGTTTTAGTGCTATTTTGGGGAATTTCTCTTAATTTATTTCGCTTAAAACTATATTATATTTTTTCTTCCTGAGACATTATTTCATGTTGGATTTGTTCTTTCTTTGGGAGGAAGGGTAGTGGGAGAGTATATGCCACTATCTTGTATGAAAAGTTCTTTGGGGTCGGTAACGCAACCTAGTTACTGGGAAGTCGATGTCTGACACTTTATAGAACGTTCAGGGAAATTTAAAGGATGTGTCACAGGGGCGTATCTAAGTGACGAGTAATGGGGGCTGTTGCACCCATTAATATTACAAAAATCTATTTAATTACTATAATCTTCATTCACTGCCCCCAGTCAAATTTATTGTTTCCCCACAGTTCTTTGTTCGTTTCCAATCTTTCCAAAACTTTATTTCCTTTTCCTCTTTTAATTGTTTGAAATCAAAAAAGCAATCTAGAGTCATTGATAGTATAATCAATAATCTTCATTAATGAAAAAAAATACAAAAGTAAAACATGTAATATATGATAGACTTATACTACTATTTTCTCTTATAACTCATACAAACACATTACTAGTAAGCACTCGTTTAGTCATGGGTTATATACTCGTGTCATGGATGAACACGGAGGCATATAGTAGCTAATTATTAGAAATACAAATTCAATCATAACTTGTATAGTATACTTATAAATGTTATACTTTCTGTAAAATAAAAAAATTTATTTGTGATTTTATATTTATTGGAGATACAATCCAAGTCCCACATCGGAAGTTTGATGGGACAATCAATAATATATAAAGGGTTAGGGCCAATCCACTAATTGCCAATTGATTTTTAGTTGGAAGCCCAGAATTAGCCCAAATTTAACAATATTTATATTAGATACTTGATAAATATTCTGCTCCCGCTAAATTTTTTTTTAAAATCCACCACTGGGATGTGAATTATATTCTTCAAAAGAGGGATGTGAAAAAATAGTCTTGGAAAGATTGAGTGCAAGATCAACTCTATTGTGAACAAGTTGATTTGAAGAGACACGTTAGTGGAAAATTGTGTCTGTAATAATGTTATGCTTGGATTTCGTAGAACTTATAACGTTTTATCTCAAATCTTGAAATTGTTTTTTTTGTTTTGCTAAACTGGTAAATATCATTGAAAAATTAGGTAAAACAAAACTTTACCTAAAGATAAAGTAACCTTGGCAAAAAAAAATAAAAAACAAGGTTACAATAAGAAGTTTGTCTGATAAATTTGGGTTAACGGATCCAGAGAAGCATGAGAGGTTTCCAATGTTTCTGATGACGCCTTCCCGAAATAATGTTGCGAATTTCCTTGTCAATATTCTTAAAGATTGTCGCCGGAGGAATGCGCAGATTGTTGTGTAGCACCATGCCCGGCTCTAAGGGTGTGCCAACAGTGCTAAAGCACATGGTCCTTTTTCATAATTTTTAGGGTCCTAATTTACATGAATTTTATTTTTCTAGAAAAAACTACATAAGAAATGGTTACAAAGTTCTGCAAATATTATGTCTAGAAGAAGAAGACAGTAAATACTGCCACGTGAGCTGATTTTTTTGGGTTAAAAGGCTTAAAGGAGATATTTTTGTTTGTAGCACAGAGCCCAATAAAATATTGAGCCGGCCTGTGTAGCACATTGTTGCGCTGACGCCAAATATGATACACATAAGCTTGAGCAGCAACCTTGCGTAGGATCGATGGAGCTTGCACATAAGAGAGACTGGACCAGGATAGTAGTTCAGCCCAGGTGAAGAGCAGGCGATGAGATGGAGTTAACCTGCTGAAGACACAGTTCCAAATTGAAGATGCGAAATCACATGTAAGAAGCAGATGGTCGCGCGATTCTGTCGATGTAGAGCATAAACAACAAAGATCAGACGGGGAAACTCCCCAAACAGCCAACCTCTACCTTGTTGGCAATCTGTTTAAAGTACTCACCCTGAAGG